GGTATTGGTTTCAAAGAAACTTGTGAAGACTTTATAAACAGATGAAGTTCATACAAGTGGGTAGAACCAGAGGAACAATTTATACAATGACAGCAATATTGTAAAGACAAATAACTTTGAAGGACTTAGGAACTCTGATCAGTGTAATGACCAACCAGGATTCCAGAAGACTCATGATGAAAGTTGCCATCCACCTCCTTATAGAGAGGTGAATAACTTAGTGTAGAATGAGATATATTTGTTTTTGGTGATAGCCAATGCAAGAGGTTTTTGTTTGTTTGTTTGTTTGTTTTTGGGGGTGAGGCAATCAGGGTTAAGTGACTTGCCCAGGGTCACACAGGTAGTAAGTGTCAAGTGGCTGAAGCCAGATTTGAACTCAGGCCCTCCTAACTCCAAGGCTGGAACTCTATCCACTGTGCCACCTAGCTGCCCCTCAAGAGTTTGTTTTGCTTAATTGTATATATTTATAACCGGGGTTTTCTTTTCTTTTCTTTTCTTTTCTTTTCTTTTCTTTTCTTTTCTTTTCTTTTCTTTTCTTTTCTTTTCTTTTCTTTTCTTTCCTTTTCTTTTTTTCAATTGGGAGAGGAGGGGAAAGAAGACAGACTTTTGCTGGAAAAAAAATGTACAGAAGTTAAGAGAAGGAAGTTCAAAAGTAGGTATAGACAAGCAGAACACTTGGAAATTGTGTAGAATTTATTGTGGATTTAAAAAAAGCACGAGGGGGCAGCTAGGTGGTGCAGTGGACAGAGCACTGGCCCTGAAGTCAGGAGGACCTGAGACTGACCACTTGACACTTACTAGCTGTGTGACCCTGGGCAAGTCACTTAACCCCAATTGCCTAAAAAGAAAAAAAAAGCACATGAAATGGAGACTCACAATTTTATATACAATCTTTTTGGCATTCTGCTGTATATGCAGAAATGCTCGTTTTCCCTGTTGTTTTAGCTTAAACATTTTTTTAATTTAAAAATAAATCATCTAGTGTATTCATAAATTTTACAGATGAGGAAACTGAGTCCCAGAGAAATTAAAATGACCTGCTCAAGGTCATTCAGCTAGTAAACCATTATTCCATTTAGTCCTCACAACAGCCCTGGGAAGTAGGTATATTTGATCCTCCCAACTAAACTGTAAGTTCATCGAGGACATTTTTGCATCCTCAATGCCTGGCACTGTGACCTATATACAACAAAGACACAGTGAATGAGGATGATATGGTTGCAGTAGTCAGAGAATTATGGTGATGCTTTAGGTTATGAAGATGGTGTTGGTGGTGAGGGATTTGGTAGTTATGGTGATTAAAATGATGGTGGCTAGAGGTGGTGATGACGGAGGCCATGACATGGTGGTGATGATGGTACTGATGGTAAAAGGTGGTGTGGGCAAAAGGGAAGAACACCAGCTTTGAATGAAAGCATTTTTTTATTCTTATTAAATGCTTACTATGTGAAGATTGGCTAACATTACAGAAAAGGAAAAGAAAAAAAATGCTAGAGGGCATGTGGAAAAATAGGGACACTAATACAATGTTGGTCCAACCATTATGGAGAACAATTTGGAACTGTGCCCAAGAGCAATAAAATTGTATATATGCTTTGATCCAGCAATACCACTACTGGGTCTGTATTCCAAAGAGATCAAAGGAAAAGGAAAAAATATACAACTCTTTTTGTGATGGCAAAGAATTAGAAATCAGGGGAATGTCTATCAATGGAATGGCTGAACAAGTTGTGGTATATGATTGTGATGGAATACTATTGTGCTATAAGAAATGATGAGGAGGATGGTTGCAGAAAAACCTGGGAAGACTATACAAACTGATGCAAAGTCAAACAAACAGAACTGGGAGACCATTGTACACAGTAACATCAACATTTGTAATGATGATCAACTGTGAAAGACTTAGCTCCTCTAATCCACACAATGACCAGACCCAGAATGCTATTGTTGTTTGTCCTTCATTCTCAAAGAGGACCAACGATATCATGAGGGTAATGTCTTGACTTGAAGTGAATTGGATATAAGTGAGGGAGAGCTGCGCAAATCATCAACCTTATTCTCTCCTTCAGAATCATCAGAATCCACGGGCAAGGCAAAAGTCAAGACAACTGGTGATATCCCAGCAATGGAAAATACTGCTCATGTCTAGAAAGAGAACTGACGAACTCTGACTGCAGATTGAAGCATACTTTTTAAACCTTATTTTTCTTCTTTTTTTTTTTGCAACATGGCTAATATGGAAATACATTTCGCATGACCTCAAATGTATTATTGATATCATTATTGCTTCCCTTCTCAATGGATGGGGAAAGGGTGGGAGGAGAAAATCTGGAACTCAAAATGTAAAAAAAAGAGAATATTAAAAATAAAATAATACATTTTAAAATGCTTACTATGTGGCAAGCATTGCACTCAGCATGCAAAAGAAGAGACAGTACCTGTCCTCAAAGAGCTCACCTTCTCACAAGGCAGGACAGGAGCACAAAAGCAAAGGCAGGGACAGCTTTGAATGATGGCATTTATTGTTATTAATGTTTGGCAATATGGTAATACTTGCTTTATATGCTAAGAACTGGGCTAGGAGCTGGGATACAGATACAAAAGTAGAGGCAGCAACTGTTGCTTACATTCTAATATGAAAGGTTAATAATGCCCCCCCAAAAAAAGAAAAAGAAAAAAGAGTCAGTGGGCTGATAGACCAGCTTTGAATGAAAGCATTCATTATTATTAAATAGTTACTATGTTACAACAAGCACTGTGCCAAGAACTGGAGATAAAGATTCAAAAAGTTCAAAAGCAAAGAACCTTCCCCCTGGTGGGAGAGACAACACATATGGGGGGTGGTTGTTAGGGGAGTACTTTGATTTGGAAGTTACAAGGATGATGAGTGAATGAAGTCATATATTCACACATCCTACCCAGCACAGAGTTGATTCCAAAACTGGTAAGCCTACCCTTCTACCATTAGAGTGGTTGTTGAGAAATGATAAGGAAGTAATATAAAGCACGGCTAGACCCACCTAGATATCATGGCCTACTTGAGGCACCCACCAATCAGGATGGGGCCCCAGAGAGGGAGTTCTGAAACTGAAATGGTTAAGTCCACTAAGGAATAGTCACTGGTTGCGGGGTAGAGTGGCATGAAGCCTGGGACTTGCTTTCCAGTTTTGTTGAGGGTGGGCCTCAGGTACTTTATTTTATTTCATTTTGCTTTTAGCTAGCATTTACATAGGGTTTTAAGGTTTGCAAAACACTTTACAAATATTATCAAATTTGGCCTTCATAATAAGCCTGGGAGGTAAGTGTTTTCATTCTAAGTCTTGCCCAGGGTCACACAACTTGTAAGTATCAGAGGTCAGATGTGAACTCAAGTCTTCCTGACACCAAGTACAGTCATCTCTCCCTTTTCCCACCAAGCTGCCTCTGTACATTAGTATTGCTCATGTGTGCCACAGGGACTGTTCTGTCACAGAGAATTATTGCCATATATAATCAATTCACATGTCGTAGAACTTTCTCCTCCAGTCCTGTATATGGAATACATGTTGGTTGAGCAGTCTACTTAGGGATGCAGAAGACAAATACTGATGGGCACAGCTATTGTTTGGCCCCAAGTATTACGTATCTACACCACTGTGTCGACCTTCAGCTCTGGCTCTCCAGACTTTCTGCCTCCAGTTAGGGAGGAGTTGCTTTAGGCTTAGTTCCAGGATCCTGGTGTCTGCCCTGCCACTCAGGCTCCAGCAGCCTCTGTTCTAAGTCTGTGTTATCAAGTCCAAACATAGGGTACCTCACAACTCCATGACAGACTGAAACCTGAGCCTCCATCTGTCTTTCCTTTTTTTCTTTTTTTTTCTCCACGTACTAAAAATATTTTTATTCATGTTTGTGAAGATTGTTTATTGCTGAAAATGTATTAACAAGATTAACTATGCAGCAAAAATATGTATTATATCTAAATCCTATGGTTTAGAGTTGAAGGGACCTCAGTAATCATCTGGTTCAACTCTTTCCTTTTACAAAAGAGGAAACTGAGGCCCAAACAGATTAGCTGACTTGCCCAAGATCACAAAGAGAGTAAAACAGTAGTCTGTCTCTTTTCGATGATGATGCTGGCAAGTCCTTCCTTACCCTCAAAGTGGTCTCAGTGCCCCGCTCCCCATAGTTTACCCTAGATGGAAACTACCCAAGAAATATAGCCAATGCATAGGATAGAGAACACTGGACTTGAAGGGAATTCTGCACTGTTCATACTTTGGGGAAGATGGGTTATTGTTGGCAGGTCAAAGAAGGAGCTGAAACGATTTGGTCCTTGACTGTCTGCCCAGTGGCATGGTGGGAAGGTAAGAAGGCCTTGCTCTATGGAGAGAATCCATTTTGTCCTTAGATTGTTTTTTGTCTTTGCCTCTCAGTTTACCCTTGGTCCCCATCTTTGACCCAGATTCTGACCTTCCTGCTTCTGTGTTTCTGTCTTGTTTTTCGAGAGGGCTGAGAAGAGGAGCTAGCATTAGAGGGAACTTTAAGAAGTTCCCAGGAGGTGAATCTCTTTTGCCCAGGCTCTTTCCACCCTCCACCCATCCCTCTACATGGAATTTGGAGAGCTTCTAGCCTCCTGCTCTTCTTGTCACTGCCCTGGGTGCACCTCTGTCTCTGACTGTGCCCCCCCCCCAGCTTCATATGTTCCCAGAGGGTTGGAAGATGGTTCCACTGGGGTCCCAGGTGATAGACACGTAAAATGGTCCCTTTCTACTCAAAATCACTTGTCTCCTCTCTCCTCCCATCCCTCTCTCGACTTATCAGTCTCTCACAAGCCAAGACAGGGACTGGGGTGGGGAGAGAGCAGGCCGGGACCTGCAGGTCCAGGCTTGCTCCTCCTCCCCCGGACTGATGGTCTTCCTAGCCTCGCATCTTGAGTACCGGACTCCGCCCCTCTCTTCTTCTCACCTTCCCCCAAGCCCCAATCTCTGCGGCTCGCGAGCAGCAGTCCCACCCCTGTGCCCGCCTCCCGCCCCATTTCGGATGCCTCTGTCTTGCCTCTTTCCCGGGCTCCTCTGCTCTCAGCTGTGGCGCCAGTATCGGTGGCCCACTGGCTAGACGCTGCACCTGGACCTCTCTTTGGTCACTCTTTCCCTATCTTCCAACATCCCCGGTGCTCACCTAGCCCTTCCTGTGGGCGCCCACTGTTCTTACCCCAACTTCTTTTCGCACCGGTGTCCGGCGTCCGCCTGTGGGACATGGAACCGGAGGAAAGGAGAAGGGTCTCAGGGAACCTGGGTTCCAGCCAACAGACGGCAAAGGAAACGCCGGGGTCCCCAACCTGCAATGACAGCTGCAGCGATCCTGGACACCCAGGGGTCAAGGAGGGGATGCTGATGGGAGAGCTGGAGGCACTGGTCCAGGAGATGGTGAAGACGAGTAGTTGGTGGGAGCGGCGCGGCCTGGATTGGTTCATCCTTGCTCTTAACTTCCTCGCTCTACCTTTAGGTGAGAAGTGTGGGGCACTACCTGCACTAGGGCCGAGCTCCAGGACGCCGGGAGGATCGGATCGATCCTCCAGGCGCCGTGGGGGTAGGGAAGGTCACGGTGTTTTGCAGAGTCAGGCCCCAAATGGGGTTAACGAAGCCTGGTATTTTTTGCGGGGTAGGGGGGAGAGATACGGGGATAGGAAGAATTGATGCACGTAGGTTGTGTTGGACTGTGGGGAGGGGGAAGGAAAGAAGACTTTGTTAGTGAAATGATTCTGGGGTGGACTTTGGGATGAAATGCCCTCTTCCCCCAGGGATTACATCGTGGCCCTTTCTCCGTAGCTCCAATTTCCTTTGCCCTGAGCGAGGCCGCCAAGCAGAGCAGCAAATACAGCTGCAGTGTCTGCGGGTTTCAGGCTGACCTGTTCTCAAACCTTCCTGTCGATGTTGGGGGCTGGGAAAAGAATTGTTAGCCCTCACTGAACGCCTGGCGGGGAGGGAATGGGGAAGACTGAGAAGAGGTCCGGGATCAGAAGCTGAACTTGTAGTCTGTCCTTCATTGGCCCCAAAGTCCCCAGGCTTCTCCTAGGGGTCGTTGAGCTAGAGGGCAGGGTCTGAGATCCTGTTCCCCTCTTCTCTAAGTTTGGACACGACCCTGCGAGGTCAGCTGCTCTAGAGGGGAGGCTGGTGGGGATATTAGGTAGGGCTGGCAGGCTGGAGTAAGAAAGAGAGAAGGAAAGGAGGGTGTATGCAGGAGGAGGAAGGAGGTGAGAAATGAGTGAGGAACCTTGTAGTATAGGAGGATGAGGAGGGGATTCAGAAGAAAGGATGAGGGAAATGAGGAGAAATGGCAGGAAGGAAGGAGAAGGATATTTACCTGGGGACCTGCTAAGATCAGAGACGCTAAATCTAAGACTCCATACCCAACAGAATTATTTCTGGATATTATTTCTTCCTACTGGTGGGGAAGTGGCATTCAGGATGGGAACCCTATGGTCTTCTTAGCTGAGATCCTGCAGGCTGATCCCCACCCTATGCTTACCCTTGTGTTTACTCCTAACTCTTACCTTATATTCTTGGGTGAATTTGGAGAGGGAGGAGGGAGGAGATTCAAAGTGCATGCCCAAAACTGAGTAGAGGAGACTTTGGTTCTGATTCTGATGTTATCACTACTATGTTGTATGACCTTGTGCACTTGACTTAACCTTTTTGTGCCTCAGTTTCCTCTTCTGTAAAATGAGGCAGTTGGGCTAGGTGATATCTGGGATCCTTTCCAGCTCTAATATAGGAATCTTGGAAACTAAAATTACTGCCCTTGAGTGAGTACCTATTTCAGTGCCCCCATCCTCCAAACTTGAAGGTCTGCTCTTCAGGGAGATGTGGAAAGTACATAGAAGCCACAGTGGGATTAGGGCAAAGAATCTTTTTAGTTAAACGTTTTCTCCTCTCAAGTACAGAACCTAAGGGTTGGAGCAAGTGAGATTACCTGGGTGGGCACTGATGAAAATTTTAGAATTTGAACCCTTTGCTTCTAGATCTCTGGTCTTGGGTCTTGAAGCCTCAGACTGATCCTGATCTCATGTTTTGTTCCCCCACCTTCTCTTTTCACCATTCTCATGCAGGATTCCTGTGTCTTCGATCCCAGAGTACCCTGATCTTTGCCCTAGGGATCATCATCCTAGGGGTGGTACATCACACATTCACAGTCAAGGGTAGCCACCTGGCTAGCCATGGTGCCCTCAGCAACTCTAAACACTGGAGCAGATTTTGGGTGCTTTTCTTTGTGGAAGTAAGGAGGGGACTGGGCTTCTGGGACTATGCATAGGACAGCCTGTGTGAATCCAAGTATGCAAGCAAATGTAATAATATGGATTTGGGTGGGCAATTCCAGCTATATATGTACATGATTAAGTGTGGGATGAAGATACAAAGTGTGTGTGTATTAATTGTGGCATGTGATGTGGACATATTCTATGTTTATGACTTGTGTAATGTGCATGCTTTGAGCTTCTTTAACTCTAATGTGGTTGCTATTTTTTTCTGTGACACTGGGCTGATAGCCACTTAAAGCATCTTTCTCTCACCAGGGGCTCCCAACTGGCATGTCCAGGCCCGTGGATGACCTCTCCTCTGACTGCAACTCACAGGGTGTTGCTTCATAATTTTGCAAGCAGGGTGTCATGGGGAAAGATGGGGAAGGTCCAACTTGGTAGACCTCCTACTTTACTCAGTACCTGAGGGCTTAAGGTTTGACTTCAGCTTGGGCATCAAGACACTCTTATCCCTTCCCTGTGGTGGCAAGGAAATACAGAAGAGTTGTCTTAAATGGAACAAAAACGACTTTCTCTTGAGGCTGATGATTTTTGAGGTTATGAAACTTATCCAGGTTGGCAGTAATAGACACTGAAGGTAGAGATCACCAGATTTCCAAGCCAGGTCTACACTTAGCTCATTCCTGTCTAAGATTCCCATGCTCTTTGGACAAATTCTGTATCTTCAACTTCTACTAAACCTACAATCTGCTGTCTTTATCTAATAACAATTATAGCTGGCATTTATATAGCACTTTATTTTTTTTGTGAGACAATCAGGGTTAAGTGACTTGCCCAGGGTCACACAGCTAGTGAGTATCACATGTCTGAGGCCAGATTTAAACTCAGCTCCTCCTAACTCCAGGGCTGGTGCTCTATCCACTGCGCCACCTAGCTGCCCCTATATAGCACTTTAAGGTAGGCAAAATGCTTTAAAAATATTATATCGTTTGTTCCTCAAAACAGCTGTGGGGTGTAGGTGTTATTATTATCCCCCTTTTACAGATGAGGAAACAAAGACAGACAAATGGGAAGTGACTTGCTCAAGGTTCAGTGTCTGAGACTGGATTTGAACTTAAGTCTTCCTGACTACAGATCCTGTACTTTACATACCATGTCACCTAGCTGCCTTTCATTAGGATAGCTGGGTTCTCCTCTTGCCCTGTCAAATAAATATGAGTAAGATTATTTAAGTCAAACGTAGAGACATTCATCCTTCTAAGAGGCCAAAGGAAGTATGACATTAATAATGTTCAAAGCAGTGGACTAGGAATATGTAATCCTGGATTTGAGTCAAGACTCCATTATTTGCTAAGACAATAGGTAAGTCACTCTGCTGTGATATCTTTGAACCTCAGTTTTCTCATCTGTAAAATGGGGCATTTCGTCTACTTCAGGGACAGGAATGTGCTGAAGCCAGTTAACAAAATCCAACTGTTAAATTTTCAGTATGGGTTTTTTACATTTGCATCTCAGAAATCAGAAAATGCTAGAAATCCAAGCTTGATTTATTGTTGTTGTGAAGAAATTGTCTTGATTTAAGAAAGTGATGGAGAAAATGTTAACAAGGAAGATAAAATTTAAAAGTGTGTTGTGTATAATTTCTCCTGCTCCCTTCCTGGAAAGCACATGGTTAACATTTACCAGCACACCCCTGCACAGAGAGTTGTTAGGTACAGGAACTAGGCCTGTGATTTCACTGGTATAGAGAATGCCTGGAGGAAATACCATATACGTATGTGTATTTGTATGTAATAATAATGGGGAAGAAATACCATCTATATATTTGAGTAAGTTCCTTTTTTTTCCCTTTTTTCTTTTTTGGTGAGGTAATTGGGGTTAAGTGACTTGCCCAGGTTCACACAGCTAGTGAGTATCATGTGTCTGAGGCCAAATTCAAACTCAGGTCCTCCTGACTCTAGGGCTGGTGTTCTATCCACTGCACCACCTAGCTGCCTCCATCTATATATTTGTATACCTATATGTTGTTGTCCAGTTGTTTCAGTCGTGTCCGACTCTTTGTGAGCCTGTTCAGGGTTTTCTTGGCAGAGGTACTAGAGTGGTTTGTTATTTCCTTCTCCAGCTCATTTTACAGATGAGGAAACTAAAGCAAACAGGCTTAAATGGCATCCACAGGGTCCCACATCTAGTAAGTGAGGCCAGATTTGAACTCAGATCTTCCCGACTCCAGGCCCGGCACTCTATCCACTGTACCTCCTAACTGCCCCTGAGTATATGTGTGTATGTATGCATGCATATATATACTTACATATGTATATAATATATTTATGCATGCAAATATACACAAACATACACATACATAAATATGTGTGTATGTATAGAGCTCTATCTACCTATAGTTTAGCACCTTACTTTGAGAGTTACCTTGAGCAGTGAAAAGTTAAGTGACTTGCCTAAGGTCACACAGCCCATATGTGTGAGAAGTAGGACTTAAACCTGGCTTCATGGCCAGCTTTCTATCCACTATCCCATGCTCCCTTTCAGAAGGTCATTATAAGGGCCAAATGAGATAATATAAAAAAGCAAAGTGTTATACAAATGCTTACCCATCATAGGTGAATTCTTAGCAGTGAACAATAATCACAGGTACAGCATGAGTTGTTATTTTTATAAAAACTACAGCTGGATAGTTAATTAGCTCAAGCACATTCAATAGAAGAGAGTAGGTCACCATATACAGCTCTCCCTATCCTCGATTGTTTTGCTTTTCTCCCTGCATTTTTGGGGCAAACCTCCGGGGAGATAGAAGAGGTCATTGTGTTTTTGATCCTCATAGTCCATTTCAGCAAGTTTCCCATCCCTGGCACCCATGAGTGGGGACTAGTTCTCTCACTCAATAGTCTGGAGACCAGCCACAACCCCGGAATGTTAGGGCTTCCATTGTTAAATGGAAAAGGAAGGGAACAAGCATTTATTAAGCACCCACTGTGTGCTATCCACTGGAATAAGTGCTTTACAAATATCTCATTTGACCCTTACAATAACTCTGGAAGGGGAGGGACTGTTATTATCCTGATTTTACAGTTAAGGAAAATGAAGCGGAATTGAAGTGACTTGCCCAAGGGTCACACAGCTAGTAAATGTCTGAGGTTCTGTTTGAACTCGGGTCCTCTTGACTCCAGGTCCAGTGGTCTGTGCACTATGGCGCTACCTAGTGGCCAGTTGAAGAGTGGGATATAAATGAAAAGTTGGAAGTCTCGGCATGCCTCTCCAGACTTCTTTCCCACTCCTCCTCTTCACATATGCTGTGTTCCAGCATAACTGGCCTACTTTGCTGTCCCCAGAACTCAATATCCCCTTACCACATCTCTGTGCCTTTGTACTCACTGTTCTGCATGCCTGGAATGCATTTTCTCCTCAGCCTCTTCTTAGAGTTTCAGCTTCGTGTGCCAAGACCTACTGAAGCCTTTCCTAATCTCCCAGGTTGTGTTTTCTCCATCCTCATATTATCTCATATTTGCTTATCTGTTTACACATTGTATCCCCTAGAAGAGAATATAGGTTCCCTGAGGACTGGGAATATTTTTTTGGACAATCATAGTGCCGTGTATATAAGAATTGATCAATTAATTTTTAAAAAAATATTCAGCGCCTACTATGTGTCAGGCACTGTTAGTAGGAAAAGCAATCCCCTATCCTGAAGTCCTTTGATGACAATCCTAATTTTAGACATATTCTTGACTTGCAAAATGAGATGGGAATTGGAGGAGTACTAAACAGTAATAGTCCTTTTAAACTCCTTCCTATTAATTTTTAATCTATGTTTCTATGGCCCCTTATTGAATGTAATTTTTATTGCATTATGATCTCAAAAAGGATAAGCTCCTTCCTGATAGAAAGGTTCATCTTGTCCAAATATCTCCTTGAGGCTAGCTGGTACAAATAGGATTCTGGTAATATAAATAGTACTCTCCATATAATGCCTTGTTTCTCAAAACAACTCTCACAGAGATTTGAAACCACATGAGAATTTTAATGAAAATGAAGTTTAAGGAAAGAGTCCTTCCATTGTATAGCTTCCCACCCACTTTGTTAACCCTCAGGGTCTAGAGGATGTGAATAACTTAGACACCATTTATAAAATTGTAAAACTTATGTAAGAACTGGAAACATTTGTTTTGATGACTCTTTGGAGCCATCTTCGTGCGGGACTTGTTCAATTAAATCCAACAAATATTTATGAAGCATCTATTATTATGCACCTGGGCTGGGTGTAAACATGATAACGTTCCTACCTTCATGAAGTTTATATTTTACTATGGGACAAAACTATGATATATACACCTCTAATGATAATTCAGTGTTGGGAGTGATAAGGGCCAAAGAGAGATCCAAAGGGGTCCAGGAATAGAAAATGCTGTCATTTGGGTGGGAATATATGGAGGAAGTAGAATTTGAACTGAACCTTTATGGGAGTGAATCTTTAAGGGAGTTTAAGCCATAATCATCACAATAGCTAGCATTTATATAGTGCCACCTAACTTATTAAATGGACATCTGGGTGGTGCAATGGACAGAGTGCCAGGCTTGGAGGTGAGAAGCCTTCAGTTCAAATCCAACCTCAAATACTTACTAGCTGTGTAACCCTGGGCAAATCACTTAACACTGTTTGCCTCAGTTTCATCATCTATAAAATGAGCTGAAGAAGGAAATAGCAGACTATTCCAACATCTTTGCCAAGAAAACCCCAAATGGAGTCACAAAGAGTTGGACGTGACTGAAAACGACTGAACAACGACAAAAGCGTATTAAATAAGTTCACAAGCCCCACACTAGGAAATCTTGCTCTACAGCAGAAGGGTCAAGCATGTGGCCGAGTATAGCCTGAACCAGAGTAAACTTTAATTGAGAAATATTTAACAAAATAAGTCAGTAGATAACATTACATTTTAAAACTAAGTCCGTATGTGTTCTACAGGGATCTTTACAGATTAGTGGCCTCCATTTCTAGCTGCGTTTGACAGTACTGTTCTAAAGCAAACTGGCAGAATTAGGGAGATAGAAAGCCTGGCATATTGAACTGCTCCCAGCAAACTGCCTTGGAAAAAAGGTCTGTGAGAGAAGGCTGAAGGGAGCATATTGATTTTTAGAGACAAATGTTGAGTGTTTAAATGGGAAGGAATGTGAAATAAACTGGAAAGGAAGGTTGGAACCAGATTATGGAGCCTGTGAAATGCCAAGGTAAAGGCATTTTATCATTATTATTTTTATTATTATCTTAGAGACAATAGGAATCCAATTGATCTTTTTTTCAAGTGAAGGACTGACAGGATCAGACCCATACCTTGGGAAGATTATTTGGGCTGTTTTGGGAAGGTTGGATTAAGAAGGAGAGAGATAGGAGGCAGGTAGACCAATTGGAGCCCATTACAATTGTCCTAATAAGAGACAGAAATAGGAAGGTAAACCATGTATGTAGAGAGAAGGGGATAGATGCAAGAGACGTCTGAAGCTACAGAAAAGGTGCCAACTTGCATTGGCAGAAGGGGTTCCCAATACCTGTGAAAATCACAAGTCCAGTGCCTAGCCTATAGTTAGGACCATCATTTTAACCTTCCATATAAGCTGATATGTGTGTGTGTATTTGTATGTATGTATGTATGTATGTATGTATGTGTGTGTGTATATATATATATATCTATATATATATGTGTGTGTGTGTGTGTGTGTATACACACACACACACACACACACACGTACTAGGATTTCTATAGAATGCCATGAGAGTCATCTTCTAAAGGCTCTTGCTAGGAGATCCTGAACTGACTTTGACCTAGCACCTGGGAGGAGTGTGGCGATTTAATAAATAGCAATCTGGACCTGGAGTCAGGAACACCTAGGTTCCAAATGGATACTTGCTAGCTATGTGACTTTTGGTAAGTCACTAAAACTTTTTTGCTTTTAGGTTCCTTATCTTTAGGGGGGCGGTGTGTTGTATCTGCACTACTTACCTCATAGCACTGTTTTGAGGATCAAATGTATACAAAAGGCTTTGAAAACTTTAAGGCACAATAAAAATGTCTTTTGTTTCATAGGTAAGGTAGGTGGTTATTTCAGATGCAATATTAGGGGTGGGAAGGTACAACAAAGGATGCTTCTGAATATTATTTTTTATTTACAAACATTTTTTATGTCAGAAAATTCCATTCTCCAGGTCCAAGTTGCTATTACACTACTACACTTCTCTTAGATGCGAGGTCAAAGTCAGGCACAAAGATGATAACTTTTATTTATTTTGTGATAAGCCCAGTCACATGTTATAGTGAAGGCTTGAAGCCTCTGGTGAACTATCACACGCAGGATCACAATTTTCCAACCTTGCCTAGGGCACAGACAACAATTAGCTTTGTCTAGATCCTTCAGAAATTCCACCTTTTAGAAAGTTAATGAAAAGAATCACTGCTTTTATCAGAATGTTTATTTCCTCTGCAAAGCCAGAGTTTGCAATGCTGTCCATTTCGTTACAGAGTACCTTTTGGTACAAAACAAAAGTTTCTTCTTGGGTGTGGTGCAAGAAAAAAACGTTATCCCTGAAGATTAATTTGAACGCTTTCTCTTGTCAGGAAATGCAGTGCAAATAGAAAATGTTAAAGCTATGTAACCTAACTTGTTTCTTTTTAGCCTTTGCTGCCAGAAATTTTAGAGCAAAATTTGGTACTCAACCATAGCATTTCAATTGCCCTGAGTAGTTGGTATTCCTAGAGGGATTTTATTCTGTTATGTCCCTAAATGTATTGTTTTCCATTTCAAATGCATTTTATTGACGGCTTTTGTCTTTATATCATAATCATTTCCCACCCACCTCTCCAGATGTAACCATCCCTTGTGACAAAGAAAAAGTATTAAGCAAAAATAAGTAAGACAGAGATTGCCTGACAATGTACATACAGTATGCTATCCTGGTAGTTGCCCACCTTTCTGCCAGAGGGAGAAGGTTTGATAAATTAGCTCTTCTTCAGGACTTTCATTGCTTTTTGTCACTATGCAGGGTTCAACTTCCTTTTAGGAATCTGTTTATGCTGCAGTGACTGTTTATAGTGTTCTCTTATTTAATTTATTTTGTTCTAGGTCTATTCATGTGAGTTTTCCTAGATTTCCCAGAATCCTTCTCAGTGTATAATAATATTCTGTTACATTCCTATACTTTGATTTTTCAAAGGGTACCCCTTATTTCTGGCTCAACATTACCAAAAAAAGTGCTGCTATGAACATTTTGATTTATATTAGATTTTTGTTTCTGTCTCTAACTTCCTTGGGGAATATGGTAAGATCAACGGGTCACAATGTATAAATGGATTGGTCACTTTTCTTGAATAATTCCAAATTGAAGTCCAGAATGGCTGGACCACTTCATGGCTTCACCAAGAGTACATCAGTGTGCCTGTCTTCTTCCCACATTGCTAGTTCCCATCTTTGCCAATTTACTTGGTGTGAAGTGAAACCTCAGAATTCTTTTAATTTGCACTATTAGTGCTTTAGAATATGCATTCTGTTTTAAAGGGTAAAACCCCTCAATTCCTCTTGAAGGTGGGAAGGCGTGTAAATCTGAAATAAATAAAAATTATTGGCCTAGATAAAAGCTTCTAGGGAATACTATGCTTTGTAACTTTTGCATATATTTGCATATAATGAAAGCATTAACTTCCTATCGTGTATTCACATTTCTTCTTCTATTTAAAGAGTCCTAGGCTGTCTCTCCATGCCTCTGCCATTCTCTGTTCCTTTCTGTCTACAGAGAATTCCACCAAATTTCCATCTCTGTTGCTGTGTGATCTATGCAATTATTTATCCCATGGTTTATTGACTTTGTGGACAGTCCATGTACATTTTCAATCTCAGATTGTCTGTCTTTAGCTATCTAGAACACTCAGGGTCCACCCTGCCTTTTAACTGATGTAGACCCAGAGAGTTCAAAGCAGAATTAGGACAGTAAAGATGCTGTAGGAAAATCACAAATTGCTTTGAAAAGCCAGGAGGAAAATACATTTGCCATCACAATCCTCTTTATTCATGTACATAATGAATGGGAAACTGACTGTAAATGCAAAAGTTCTTGGGAAGGTTTGGAGGGCTTGGGAGGTGGTCCTAAAGCAAAGCACCCCTGTGTTAGCCTGTGCCCAAGAAGGTCTTCTGTTCCCATGCCAATGTTCCTGGCACCCTTATTGTTCCATTTCTCTACTCTTACACTCCTTAGGTGTGCACTTCGTTCACAGCTGAACAGGCCACACATGGCCATGTGAAGTTACATCATGGTTACACCAATGTGGTGGGCTTGGGGGACTCGAGTACGTGGAAGGTGCCTATCCTGAATCGATATGTCTACATGTTCTTTGCTCCATTGATGTTACCCATCATCACCCCTCTGGTGGCACTTGGTGGGTACCCCTCTCCTGGGACCAGTCCCCAAAATTCCCAGGCTACATCCTTGAGTAGAATTAAGGAACCTCCTTGGAAAAGGAGTACCACATTTCTCCCCTCCCCTACCACCTTCAGGGAGGCATTTGATGGTGACAGCTAGGTGGTGCAGTGGATAGAGCACCAGCCCTGAAGTCAGAAGGACCTGAGTTCAAATCTAGCCTCAGACCAAATGCTTGAAACTTACTAGCTGTGTGACCCTGGGCAAGTCACTTAACCCCAATTGCCTAAAAATATAAATAAATAAAGTGAAATAAGATGTAATTTTTTTTAAGAAAGGAGGCATTTGATGTAATAGGTTGGGAGCCCAGACTTCTGGATCTCATTCCCAGCTCAGACAGGATAGATAGATTGCTCCCCCGGTCAACAACTTAGGGATTTTTGGCCTGATATTAAGAGGCAAGGTGGGCTAAGAGCCTGTGAATGCTGGGGCACAATGTTGAGTGAGTGGTGTGATGGGAATAGCATTGGTTCTGGGATCAGGAGCCTAGGTGAGAATCCCAGGTCCACAATACACTAGCCATGTGACCCTGGACAAGACATTTACATTATCTGAACCTCAGTTTCCCTATGCTACACATGGGTATGACAATATTTGTAATGCTTATCTTATAAAGAGCATGTGTTAAAAGTTCCTTGCTATGGAAATGTAAGTTATTATTATTACCTGGAGGAAGTCACTTATTTGTAACTCCCCACAGCAATAAAGATGCTTGGATTTAGATACCAGTCTTAGGGAGGAGAAATATCTCATGATACTTAATAACTAACAAATAAATAACAACTGGTATTTATGTAGCACTATAAGGTTTGCAAAGTGTTTTTTTGTTGTTGTTTTTTGTTTTTACAAATACCTCGTTTGGTCCTCACAACGACCCTGTGAGTTATAGATATGGAAACTGAGACAAACAAAGGTTAATTGACCTGCCCAGGGTCACACAGCTAGCAAGTATCTGAGACAGGATTTGAACTCAGGTTTCAGTGGATTCAGTGTATCACCTACCTGCTTTTACATACCAACTGGGAGAACTCCCTGATAGCTCTGGAGCTGTACTTTGGCCTGGGGGCCAGAGATGAAGGAAAAAATCCTCAATAGCCTCTATGGCCTTTTAATAATGTGCCTATATATTCTATGGCCTGTGTCAGGGCTGAATTTCTTACCTTGCCCCAGTCCCATTAAATATTCCTTCATCTACTAAGTGCATCAGGTGGAGTTCTATAAACAGAGGGCTTGGAGCAAAAGTCCTGAGTTCAGATCTTAGCTCTGTGTGTACTACCTGTGGGACTCTGGGCAAATCTCTTGGCTTCTCCGCATTTTCTTGCCTGTAACATGAGGGGATTGAACTGTATGGTCCTTAGGTCCCTTCTAGCTCTAAATCCTACAATTGAGCTCCAAGGGGCCCCAGCCTGGGAAGAAATTGGAGAAGGTTCGAGCAGGAAGATGGTCTTAAAGATGACCTAATCCACCTCCTTCATTTTACATTTGAGGAAACTGAGGTCCAGTGAGCCTAAGCGAATTGTGCGAGGTTCACAGAGGCAGTCAGTGGCAGGGCTGAGATCAGAACCTTGACCTCTTCTTCCTAGTTCCGTGTTCTATCCCCCTTGGCTTTTAGTGGGATGTGGTGTGGAGCACCAAGGATTTGAAGTCAGAGGACCTCAGATTGAACCCCAGGTCTGTCACTTTAGCTATCTGTGTAACCTTAAGCAAGTCACTTCCCTTAATTTTCTCATTTTAAAAGTGAATTTTATTGTTGTTATTGTTCAGTCATGTCTGACTCTTTGTGATCCCATTTCTTGGCAAAGATGCTGGAGTGGTTTGCTATTCTTTTTTCAACTCATTTCAGAGATGAGGAAATTGAGGCAAACAAGGTTAAGTGACTTGTCCAGGGTCACGCAGCTAGTGTCTGAGGCCAGATTGGAACTCAGGAGGATGAGTCTTCCTGACTCCAGGCCCAGCACTCTATCCATTTTGCCACCTAACTGCCCTAAACAATTAGACCATGAAGGGACTCAAACCTCAATCTTAGGATCTAAAGTCAAACATCTAAACTATTACAGCACGTGGTCCACATTAAACAATGAATAGGGAGGAAGAAATTGACCACCCAGCTCCCTTCTAGATCTCTAAATCTACTATTCTACCATCTTAGTCTTTACTTACTATTCTAGTCTTTTGGAAACTTAGAGGGGGCTCAGAAGATACCAACCAACCTTGCCTCACATTCCTTTTTCCCAAAGGGCTGCTGAGGAAGGAGGAGCCTAGGATAGTTCTTCGGACCTTGTGCCTCATGTCCCTGGGGCTATTCTCTCACTACTGGCTGCTGATCAAAGTCTCTGGCTTCCAGTCTCCTGGGTTTGCTCTTCTCTGCATGCTTATCACCCGGGGCCTGCTGGCTCACCCCTACATCCATGTCAACATCTTCCAGGTAAGGCTTTCCCTGCCAACTTTATGAGGTGTGGGAAGGTTGGGGGGAAAGCGTTCTTTAGGGCAGAGGCTCCAAACACCCTGCCTATGCTGCTGGCAACACTCTCAAGTCCAGCTGAACCAGATTAAAATGGAATTGAGAAATATTTAACAAAACAAATAAAAATACAATAAAAATAGATATTACATTTTTAAATTAATTCAATATTTAGCTGGTAGGAATCTTTATATATGGATTAGTGGTTCCATTTCCATATGGGTTTGACATTACCGCTCTTGGGCAAGCACTTCTTAAACTGTGGGTCATGACCCCACATGGGGTCATGAAAAATTTGGCAACAGTAAAAGATTTCTGAAAGCCCAGCCACCAAAATTTAACTCAAAATCAAACGTGTGATGAATCCGAGGTGTTTCTGGCAGCCCTAGCCCATGCTGCATTGCACAACTTTACTGGGACTTGGGTTCTGAACACAAAGCATGTGTACTTTGCGCTGCACATGCCCTGAGGCCACACAACGCCAATGAAGCAGCAAAAGGGGTCGAGAGTAGAAAAGGTTTAAGAAGCCCTTCTCTAGGGGAAACAAAGACTAGGTAGGACTAGAGGTCTCCTAGGTGGGTATGGATGTCAAGTGGGGAAAAAGAAAAACTAGGGGACTTGAACAACTGAAGAATACTCTCAAATTCAGGGCCAGGTTGGGAGATCTCAGATGATTGTGTCTCCAAGAGGGGAATCCTCCAAAGCAAGTCAAAGGAAAGCAGCCTAGCCCAGGGGATCAGGATGAGCACTGCCTTCCTTCAGGCTGAGAAAGGGCTACAATCTCAGAGTATGGTTGTATGTGTCTTTTTGTGTGTGTATCAAAGCACATCGGGCTGCCCATGTTCTCCTTGGATAAGAAGCCCCGGAGGATCCACATGATGAGCCTTGGGGTGCTCAATCTGCCCCGAAACCCCATCCTGGACTGGACATTTGGCCATTCTCTCATCAGCTGCCACGTGGAACATCACCTCTTCCCCCGGCTCTCTGACAACATGTGTTTAAAGGTAGAAGAGGGATAGGGGCAGAAAAGGGTTGAGGACAGGAGAGAAAATGGCTAGGAGAAGGAAAGAAAAGAATTAGGGACTAAGGAGAAAAGAATTAGGGGCAGGGAAGAACAGGGTTGGGGCAGGGGAGAGCAGTTAGAGAGACATAAAAAACTGGCCCAGTGGGAATAGCTTCAGGGCATAGGTGTCTAGAGCTGGTCCTGCCCACTGTTTCTTGAGGGGGTCAGCACACAATAGAAAATCGACTACTTCAACGCCACATAGAAAAAGTATTGATATTTTTGTTTGGGTTTCTAATATCAACCAATCAACAAACATTTATTAAGCACTTAACGTGTGCCCAACACTGTGCTATGTGCTAGAGATGCAAAGAGTGGACAAAAAAAAAGTCCCCTCTCTCCCAAAGAACCACTTATAATGAATAATTTTTTAAAAAGAAAGAGGGAAGGGGCAGCTAGGTGGCGCAGAGGATAGAGCACCAGCCCTGAAGTCAGGAGGACCTGAGTTCAAACCTAGCCTCAGACCAAACACTTGACACTTACTAGCTGTGTGACCCTGGGCAAGTCACTTAACCCCAATTGCCAAAAAGGAAAGAAAGAAAGAAAGAAAGAGGGGAAAAAAGCCAGTTCAGAAAAACAAGGCATCGAATCAACCATTTGACTTTATATGCTACACCCGTAGTATCTCACCTATACAAAGGCAGGAGAGAGGCATTTTTTCTTTTTTTGGGACCAAATTTGGGCATTATAATTTCAAAGCATTTAGTTTCCATTTTTGATGTTACTGTTGTTCTTTTCTTCTGCCTTGCTGTAGTTACTGTGTCTAATGTTTTTCTAGTTCTGCTCACTTCACTTTGCTTCAGTTCATATAAGTCTTCCCATGCTTCTTGTCAGCCTTCTTCTTAAATATTTTCTAATAAGCAGCTGTGTGGTGCAGTGAATAGAGCACTGTGTCTGGACTCAAGGAGACTTAAAGTTAAATCTGGCCACAGACATTTACTCCCTCTGTGACCCTGGATAAGTCACTTCACCTCTGTCTGCATCAGTTTCCTCAACAGTAAAATGGGAATAATAACTACCATCCAGGGAAGTGAGACAATCAAATGAGATAATAATTACAAAGCACTTAGCCTAGTGTCTGACACAGAGTAAGCACTTAATAATTTCCTGTTGAATGAAGAAATCTCTAGAATAAGGGATCCCATGATTTTCTGTTGGTCCCACAATCCAGAAGTTAATCACTTTTGAGCCAGGTCTAACCTAAGACTCTCATGTTACAATTGATGGGAAATTCTTTTCATTTGAGCTCTGTTGTGATGGAGAACATGTAGTCAGCATTTCCTCCCCAATAACCCTTTATATACTAAAGACAGGTCTGAAGATGCTGCTTGTCCATCCCTCCACCTTATCATATGCCCATTCCTCAAACCCTCTAACCCACTTTTCCTTTGGGCTAAACAGCCACAATAATTTTCAGTCTCAAATTCAACTTGCACAAACATCTCTCAATTGTTTACTATGTGCAAGACACTATTTTGCTGGTTCTCCAAGAAAGCTCACCAAATATGAGACTTAGATTGGTTCATTTAGTGGACATAAAAGATGGCCTGTCTTTGTTTTGGACTCTTGAGGTCAAGGAGGCTTAGAGTATGACCTGTCCTGTTTGGTTTTAGTAGAAAGGAAGGGACCAATAGGGAATAAAGCTTGTAGACACCCTACCCTGTTCATTGGCCTGGGAGATAAGGGATGTGCCTCTGGCATTTAGGACAAAAAGTGCCACCATGGCAGAGAGCTCATAAATCTGCCCTAGAACCTTCATGTGGGTGTTGAAGAAAATGACTCAAATTTCATTGAAGGGTGTTGAATTTATAGCCCAATAGCCAGGTTCTAATCTTAGTTTTATTACTTAATACCAGTATTACTCATTGTGTGACCTTGGACAAGTCAATGAAGCTTCTCTGGGCCTCAGTTTCCTCATCTGTAAAACAAGGAGTTTGCACTAGATGACCACCCCCAAGGGCCCTTCCAAGTCTAAATTTATGATCCTATGATCCTTTCTTTTGACTGCTGGACTAAAAACCTTCTTTTTCCTGGGTTCTGAACTAGAGTTGGCAGTTACAGACATTAGCATGTGAAAAGGGAAGTGGAGAAAGAGTCTCCTTTGGGGAAAAAACCAATCTCTATCTTATTAGACTTTGTTCACTCCTCTTCTTCTAGGTGAAGCCAGTGGTGTCTCAGTTCCTTCAAAGGAACCATCTGCCATACAATGAGGACTCCTACCTGTCAAGACTTTCACTTTTCTTGAGCAGATATGAGGAGCTCATGGTGCATGCCCCTCCCATCACTGACCTCGTGGGGCTCCAGTGAGGATTTTCCCTCACTGACAAGTCTCCCCAGCCCCCTTGCCCTCCCCAGGGTTCTGGCTCAAGATCACCCTAGAACCTAAGCCTGCCTCTCTCTGCTCCCTGGAGCTCTGAGTAGATTGGGGGGCTTCTCTTGGATGGGTACTCTGCTTTTTCACCCTTCCATCTTGGGGTGGGAGGGATGGGTATTGGGAAGGGAACACAACCAGCACTGTACCTCCCCCAGAGGGCAAGTGGGTATATGCCCTGGAGGCCTATGGAACATTTCAATCTGTTTGCATTTTCCTGAGTTGGACAAAGAGTGGGCAGCAAGGGTGGTGGCCTATCCTCCTTTGGGGATGGTGTATTCCTCTCCATGATCCTTTAGACCATCTTCATCTTAGGACAAATCAGCCTGATTCCATGTCCCCTCTCCTCTGTCTTCCCTTCTGACTCCGAACGTGAAGTGTCAGTGAGGGCAGGAGGCTTTGCTGAGACATCTGGTAAGAAAAGAGAACAAAGGAAGGTTGGGGCCTTGGTTCCCAAGAAACCCTTCAAATAGTAGTCACTGAGTTCCTCTTCAATTCTGCTGTAATTACTAATACACTGTGGAAACCCCAGCTCAGGCAAGCCAGAATCAGCCCAAAATATTGGCTTAGCATTTCCTGTGGCTCAGGGTACCTCTCTAGGATGTGGGTAGGATTTGAAGGTAAAGGGGAATCAGATTAAGCACTTCTCTCAAGGTGGAAAATAGGGATAGGACCTTATAGACATCTGTGAATAATCTTGGTGATCACTAGAAAAAAAAATCTAGCTTTGAATTGGGACTTAGGAAAAAAGGTTAGGAGGATGTAATCTACTGGAGAGAGGAAGCTAATGGGAAAGGGAATAGTGGGGTAGAGGGAAATAGTGGGGTTGGAAGCAAGATAGGAAAAAGGTTTGGAATGAGAGTTGGGCAGGTAGGAAACAGAGAGGAAGAAGAGGAAAAAGGGATAGGACAGCTAGTTAATGGGGGGAAGGAAACCTTGAAGGCAAGGTCACAGGTCAAGGGCAGTGACAACATGGATCAGTGATACTTTAGCTTGAAGTCTGTAAGTATAATGATGGGAATGGGGCAGGAAGAGGGAGGGGAGGGGAGTAGGTGACTAGAAGAGAGGCCAAGGGTCTAGTGAGCTATAGGACATCTACAAGGTTTAGACTGGAGAGGTCTGGACTGGCTGCAAGGTTGGGAGTATCTGGTTTGGTTACATGGCCATACACCAAGTAAAACGGTTAGCTCTTAGAGCTGGGAAGTTGGCTTGAAAAGTACGCTAGGATTTGTTCTAGGATTTTAATTGAAATGATTTTAAAATAAGACATAGAACAGAGCTGGGGATTCTAATTCAGATGGGGGATGGGGAATGGGTGCTAAGTTTTGGGGGAAAAACTCAGAAATTCAGCCTCAGGTTTAAGGAAATTCTCTCAGTCTTGGAAGAGGAGAATATCATTCTCCAGGGTTATTTGCTTGGCATCTTTGATTTCAGAAATTATCTATAAGAGCAAGACTCTACTCCTCTCTCTTATGGAGGTGGGGAAGGGGGCTGGGGCAGCCCTTTCAGTCAAACGGGTGATGGGAGTGTGCAGCTGTGATGTGGCAGTATTATTATTGAGCCGGTAAGGTGGTATGACAGAGTGACGGCCTTGGAGGAGGAGAAGGGAAGTTGGAATCATGCCTCAGACACTAGCAATGTGACCCTAGACAAGACGGTTACTCCACTGGCAAAATGGAGACAATAATAACAACCTCCCTGACAGGGGTGTTGTGAACATCAAGTGGAATAACATTTGCAAAGCACTTTCCAAATCTTAAAGCACTACATACATGTTAACAATTACTATCAGACTCAGGGTTTGTAGATGCATCAACAGCTTTGTGTACTGGGAGGCAAGTTAATTAAATAGCTAATCCTCCAAATAAATAATGGACAGGTCTCAGAAAAGGTCTGTTAGATGGTCCTGGCTAATGATTAAAACCACCCCAAGATGTGACCGATGATTCCTGATTATTGATTTGACTCCTGGAGAATGGAGGAGGAGGTGGGTTGGTAGGACACCAGACTGGTTCTGTTTATATCACAGTCACATGTAGTTTTCCCCTTGACAACTAGGAGGCGCAGTGAATACAACTTTGGACCAAAGGCAGGAAGACACGAATTCAAATTCGACTTCAGACACTTTACTAGTAGTGTGTGACCCTGGGCAACACCCTTCATGTCTGTTCGCCTCAGTTTCCTCAAGTGTAAAATGGGGGAAATAATAGTAGCCATTTCCAAGGGTGGTTGTGAAGATCAAAGAAGATATTTGTAAAACACTCTGAAGGTTCACAGTAATAAATGCTTGTTGTTCATCAACTCAGGGAATGGGGAACCAAGGAATCCTTGGGCTCTGCAGGTTCCAGGCCAGGGGTTATTTAACAGAGTGCCTGGATCCAAGTCCCCAGGCCGGGTTGAGAATTTTGGAACCCTTTTTAGGATTGGCTGTTACCAGGCTCAGTCTAACCTTCGGGAGGAATGATAGACACGGAGAAGGCGGGGGAAACTTATCTTGTGCCCAATCCCCATGCCGCCAGGGAAGGGGCGGGGCAAACCAGAACGTCCCCTTCTCATTGGCTGTGGTCCTCTCTTGGGAGTCCGGGAAAGAGAAGGGAAGTTATTCCCTTTGCGCCTAGTGATTGGCTCTAATAAACACTAAGGAGGGCTCTAGTCTCCCGGAAGCTAGGGGTGGGGCTGCGAATGACGGAGGGTGGAGCCCGAGGAATGGGTTTGTCCCACAAGGGGGCCGGGTTACCCAGAGAGACCGCGGAAGGAGGGGTCGGGGCACAGACTCCGGCGTGACAAGGAGAAGACGGGCCCGGGGGCGGGGCATTGTGCATGACGTAAGATGGAGGGCGGAGCGTCATCTGCGCAGAATGTCAGAGCCCTCAGGTGCACTGTGTTCTTGGCTGTCCATGGCTCCCTGGGGCTGGGGCCGCTTCCTGCTGCTGCCTCTCTCCTAGATACAGGACGTACATCAATGGGGACGGAGGTCATGGGTGGGGGGGAGGCTTCAGTTCCAAGAAGACCCCTCGCCGTCATCTGCCCATGGGGAAGCTGAGTCCCAGGTGAAAGGACGTCACCCCCAGCGAGTCAGGGGCCAGTTCAAAGCTGGAACCCAGCCCTGTTGACCTTTGGTCCAGGACCTTTAGGAGATAGGGGGGATCAGAGGGAAGACCCTCCTCTCCTCCATTTAGGGGATTATACGAGAAGTGGGGGAGGGGCAAAGAAATCTAGAAATCTAGGAGTTGTTTCGAGGTGGATATGGAAATGACAAGTGACAATGTGGGGCATCTGTAACAGGGTAGACTGGTGTGGACACGACAGGAGTGAGTGAGGGGTGTGTGTGTGTAAATAAGAGAGAGATTGTAAGTGGAGGTGGAATAATTAATAATAAAAATAGCTGACGTTTGTATAGCATTTACTGTGGCCAGGCACTTATTATTTCATTTGATCCTCACACCAGCCCTGGGAGGTAGGGACTATTATCACCCCCATTTTACATATGAGAAAACTGAGGCAAACAGAGGTTAAGTGACTTGCCCAGGGTCACCCAGATAGGAAATGTCTGAGGCCAGATTTGAAGTCTGGTCTTCCAGGCTTCAGGCCCAGCATTTGGTCCACTTCACCATCTAGCTAAGGACCTCTGTTGGGGAAGGACTGAGAGATGGAAATACTATAGATGGAGAGAATGTGTGGAGCAGTGGTGATGAAGGGAGAAAGAGATAGGCATAAATGAGTTCAATATAAGGGGAGAGGGAAGATGGAACAGGAGAGAGAGATGAATGAATGAATGGAGGTGAGATATAATAGGGAGAAAGGGAGACAGACACAAGACATAGATAGGAATGAATTAGTGTGTGTGTGTGTGTGTGTGTGTGTGTGTGTGTGTGTGTGTGTGAGAGAGAGAGAGAGAGAGAGAGAGAGAGAGAGAGAGAGAGAGAGAGAGAGAGAGAGAGAAACAGGCCCTTTGGTGGGGAAGGAGGAAGAAAGAGAGAGAAAGGGAGACATGAATGAGTGTGTGGGTGAGAGACATAAAGGCTCTTTGGAAAAGAGAGGGAAGAATGAAGGGAGAGACAGATGAGACAGAGGAATAAAGGAATGTGAGGAAGGGAGATATAAGGGTCCTTTGAGGGGAAGGAGGGAAGAAAAGAGGTATAGAGAGATATGAATGAATATTGGGGAGGTGAGATATAAAGGTGTATGTATGTGTATGAGGGAGATAGAGACAGGAACAAAGGAAAAAAATAGGAATGAATGAATGATGGAGGTGAAGTGTAAAGCTTCTCCTTGTATTGGCTGCTGACTTTCCCTGGGCTTTGAGGTCCAGGGCTGGCTGGAGATTGGGTACAGGTAAAGTGACAAGACAAAGTGAGGGGAAGGAGGAGGAGGAGAAAGCTGTGGCATCTATGGGAGGTTGGTGCTGAAGTTTACTTCTGCATGTGAGGGGATAACCTTGGCATGAGATGAGGTATGCCTGACCTTACTCCCCCACACACAACCAGCTGTTCTGTACCCTAGAGCTGGGCCCTCACATCTGTGTGGTAGGCAGTGGCCCAGCTGGTTTCTATACAGCCCAACACCTGCTGAAGGTATGTGACTCTTCCTTGTCTCTCCTCTTTCCTTGGCCCAGCTCCTTCAAGAGGTTAAAGACAGAGAAGCTCTGTAGCATCCTATTCATGGAAGGCACTTCAACAGATTTCCCAGATTCTGGAGGGTAAAGAACACTTTTTCTCCCTCCAAGCTTCAGGCTTCTCATATGGAAAAGTAGGGTTTTGCAGCAGATGAGCTCTCAGGACTCTTCCAGGCCTAATAATCCTATTTCTGTGGATTCTTCTCACATACCCCCCTTCCATCTTCTCTGCTCATCTTGGAGCAGCGCAGATTCCCCCAGGGGTCTTTAGGAAGGTATCTAGCCTGGCTAATGCTGATGTGGTGGGGTATTCCCACCTGTCCCCTGGTGCTGGCCTGTGTGATGGAGAGGCTTCTTAATTTAGTCTATCATTTTTTCAACCATCCCAGTTCTTTCTGCAATCACTTCCTGTTCCAAGCCTTCTCTACTTCCTCTACCTCTTCATCTCAAAACTGCCCCTAACCACCTCTCGTCCCAGCCCTATTTCTCTGTCCTTTCACTATAGTCCCTAACCTTAGGATTATAGACTGTTAAAACTCCCAGAGAAGACTACAGAGACCATCTCATCTAACCCCTTCATTTTACAGATGAACCCAGAGAAGTGAAAGGAATAATTTAGAGTCACAAAGTCAGGTAGTGGTAGAGTTGAGACTAGAACCCAGGTCTCCTGATTTCTAGGCCAGTATTCTTTCTACTAAGACCTTGCTGCTTCATGACTCATCCTCTCCCCTTTCCTCAGATGTTTCTCTGGTTCATCTTTCTGGTGAAGGCTGAGCTCTTCATGCTGAAGTCACTGGCCTTGGTGGGCAAAGCCCCAAGGCTGCCTGTTTCCCTTGAGCCTCAGGGCCAGCTCCCTGCTGGGGGAGGAAGGGAGGAAGGAGGGGAAAAGATTCAGGAAGGAAGAGTCCAATATGGTATAATTAAAGTGTCCAGAAAGAAGCCCATACTGTGCTCTGAGCATCTATGGGTGAAATAGCCAATGTAGTCCCTACCCTTAAGGAGCTTAAAGTATATTGGGGGAAATAGGGGAAACATTACTTAGGAACACTTACCAAACAACACAGGAAAAAAAGGGCAAATTAATGGTGCAAATAGAATGTGTGAAGGCTGAGGAAACCCAGATGCTGAGAAACTTGGCTTCTGAATCAGGAAGACCTGCATTTGAGTTTTGCTTCTGATGCATACCGGTGATTAGTGCACTGCAGTTGCTGATCTACATTGGTAGAAGAAGTTCCTACACTGGGACAGTGAAATCACAAGCTACGGATGAAACAGAAAAGCATCTCTCCAAAGTACTTTATTTTGCGATCTTTAGCAAATACAATATGTCACCAAGTTGGTATTACAGGCTATGAGTACTGCGTGCCCAGGCACTGTAATGAAGAAAGAAGAGACAGATCAAGCTTTGTGGAGCTCAGAATGATAGGAAAGATGGGATATGTTATAAATGAAAGGCACGGATGAAAAATTAAAATTCTTTTTATAGGTTAGTTCTCCCTAGTAACTGAAAAAGATAATAATGGATCAAGGCAGAATGTATTAAATGTCAGATGAGTGGAATGGACAGTTAATGGAATTCAGAGAAAGGAGAGAGAGATTACTAGGGGCTGGGATGACCTGGGAGGACCGTGCAGAGAAGACGGAGCTTAACGTGGACCTTGAAATATAGACAGGACTTAGATAAGTGAAGTTTGGGAGGGCATTCTTGGCTGGGGGAACGTATAGGTGACCTAGGGTCATAGAAAATCAGAGCTGGAAGAGGCTTCAGAAATCATCCATTCCATCAGATGAGGAAACTGAGGCCCTGAGAGAGAGGTGACGTGTCTTGTCTGAAGGTCACTCAGCTGAGATCTGGATATGCTACTTCATGTTGTGTGTTTTGTGGGAAGCCCATTAGTAGGCCACTTTGTAGAAGGAGATTCACATACAGGTGAAAAGGTTGGAGAAGTGGGCAGGAGCCAGATGGGGGAGGGTAAGGAGTGCCAGAATCCGGGACTTTGAACTCAATTCTGTAGGCAGTGGTGGGGCAATCGAAGCTTCAGAGTGACATTATCAGATCTATACATTAGGAACACTAATCTGGCAACAGTGAATAGAGTAGTTGTGGGGGTAGGAATTGAAAGGAAGGAAGACTGTTGTAATCGCTTCATCATGTTGTAATCATCCCTCAGCAGTTAATGAGGGAAACATCTAAATCACAGGAGAAGCCCCTGTGATTCCCCAAACTCTGTTTTGAGGGGTAAGCTTCATAGGTTGACAGTAGAAATAAAGAACTGCTTGAGTGAGATGGGTTCTTTCTTTGGATCCTGCCCAGGGTTACCCTCTCAACAGCCCTTGACCCTGCATGGCCACTAGGTGGTGGTGTGTCTCCCCTAAGAGAGATCTACCTCCTCACTTAGCTTGGCGATCCCTGCCAGTCCCTGAGTCTGGGCCCAATGGGGAACCCAGGCCCCCCTCCCTGAAATTCTTTGCTGCTCTCAATTTTTTGCCCTTGTCTCCAAACAGATAGTTTTTTTTTTTTTGGTGGCATAGGCCCCTCTGGCATGGTAAGTGACGGGTAGGGACCTCTTCTCAGAACATTTTTAAATAATGGAAAGTCATGCTAGATTTCAGTTAGAAGCTCATGAAAATGAAGATGTAAATGTTTTCCCCTCCGAGTTTTCAGGGGCTCCAGGTGAGGGGCCCTTTCAGTAAAGGAGGCCAAGGAGCACCGGTCAGCCCCATCTCCCTCAGGCTTTCATTGGCTTCTCCCAGGCTGTTAACGCTGGGTTTCAGAGGAGGAGGAGAAGCAAGAGAAAAGGCAGAGCTGGGAGCTGTCCTTTCCCCCTCCCTGTTCCCAAGGGCTTGCTGTGCAACCTTTCTGTCCGTGGAGGGCACCCCTCCTCCTGGCTGGGGCTCCTTCAGCCCTTTGCCGTCATTGATCGTGCTTTCCACGTGGGTTTCCAAGCCCCCTTTGAAGCTGGGGGGTCACTCCGAGAGCCTGGGGAATGGTGTGTATTCTAGGAATGAAGAAGAGGTCCAAAGCGCAGAAGAGAAGCCAGGAGTCCTGGCCCGCCACGTCCTTTTCCCCCTGATTCCCCTTCCCGGTCGTTTCCCTGCCCAGAGAGAGGTTGGGGAGAGAGCAAGGAGGTGGACTGAAGAGATCGGAGCATCCGCGTTAAGGCTGCATGCAAAGTGGCTTGAGGAGCCCAAGCGATCCAACGCTGCCTTCCAGCTGACTCCGGGCTGACTCTGGGAGCAGAAGCGGGGCTGGGAATACAAAGGCAGAGAGAGTCAATATCCCTGTTGGACCTGCAACAGTGGCGGAATGGTGAGCTAAGCAAAGCTGGAAGCGGGCAGCCCAGCCTACCTTAGCCCCAGGTGCCAAGTACTGAGGGAAACAAGGGTCAGTAGTGTGGAGTCCTGGCGAGGGCCCAGCAGGTCTGGTGGTGGCTCAGGAGCATCTGAGCTTGGCTCCCACAGTGCCTCCCTGGAGCCTTAGGGAGCCCCTCTTTGACAGGGTGTCCGGAGGTAGCGTGTCTCTGTGAGGAGTCGGTGGCAAGGGGGCAAAGCGCCCCTTCTCTCTGGGGTGAGTGCACGTAGTAGGTGACTGTGGCCAGCAACCCTAGGGTGAGGGCCACAACTTCTCCACCAACTTAAGCTATTGGAGTTGGGATCCAGTCAGAGATGGGGCAAGGACAGGGGATGCCTAGACTGGAAGACACCCTGGTGGAGCGTGAGTGTGGTCCTGAACTGCTGGAAGAGGAAGGGCAGTGAGCTGGAGATGAATTCCCTTTCCCCTTCCCTCCTAGGTTTCCAGACTCTAGATTGTTGGCCCATGAAAGGTGGAACTGTAGTAAGGGGAAGGGGAAAATGAGGGCCCCCAGCACCTTCACCCTCATTCTCCTCTCCTTGCCTCTCTAATGCTCAGGAGAGCCTGATGGGGCCTTGAAATGTGTAGCCCCCATTCTCTCTTTTTGCCTGACTCAGTGGTTCAGTCCCTAGGAAGGCTGAGAGCACAATGCAAGGGGCCAAGTGGCACATCCAGGCTCAACATTCTCATACTACAGAAAGCATAATTACAGAAGCAAAATAATAAAAGCTGGGTTATGATTTCAAAGGAAGTTCATTAAAATAACCTGAATCAATGGATGCATCCTCCTTATTATCCATCTTGTCTAAAGTTTGATATAATTAATTTAAGGAAGGGTAGGGGCCAGATGAGTGACAAACTTTCCCCAATGTCTCATAGTCGGAGGGATCAATCTGAGTAAGTCTCAAGGCTGTAAGTAAGGAGACTTAAACTTTCACTAGGAAACAAGTGTACTGTGGCCATGAGTATAACAAAAAATCATAACCCCATGTTTTCTTCAACATCATGAAAGCTGAAGAAACTTAACTCAGTAGAGGCATAATCTCATACATCCCTTAAGGAGATAAATCTCATTAAACAGATTGTAAGGTAAACCAAGTCAGGTTACAGATTAAACTACATTTAGAGGGTTTACAGTGAACTCTCTAAAACTCCCACAAAATTGTTGGCTAGTGTAAACTCCCAGACTAACAAATATCCATATTGCCTACTAAACCCTAAGGCAAAAATGAAATCTTAGGTGCAGCTAGGTGGTGCAGTGGTTAGAGCACTGGCTTTGGAGTCAGGAGGACCTGAGTTCAAATCTGACCTCAGACACTTAACACTCACTGGCTGTGTGACTCTAGGCAAGTCACTTAACCCTCATTAAAAAAAAATCTTTAAATCTAAGATCTGTTGTTACTAAGTTAGCTCAGAGATGTAATTTCAATATATACTATTCCAGGTATACTTTCATAATTTTCATAAGTGATAGCAAAGCAGTCTATCAGATAAAACTCACTTTTTACTATAAGCAAACTTCTAAGTCTTTCCACTTTAGCTGGAAGTGGTCCTAGTTTCTCAAACTTCATTATTTCATTTAGAACTTTACAATATGTTGTCAGTAGGGGTGATAAGATCTTATGATCCTGCCTAAGTGGAAAGTGCCTCAGATTTTATCTTTTTAAAGCAAAATATACCCAATTAAATACTTAATATTTTCAAACATTGTGACCACATTCTTTAGCAGTTCAATTCATACTTTAACAGCATCCATATTAAAAGAGAAGTTACTTTTCCAATGATATATTTGCAACACTCTGAGGGTATCATTTTTCAAGTTAACATTACTTATACAGTTATTGTTATTGACAGTTTTTTTCAGTTGTGACCAAATCATCATGATCCCATTTAGAGTTTTCTTGGGAAAGCTACTGGAGTGGTTTGCTATTTTCTTCCCCAGCTCATTTTTACAGATGAAGAACAGAGTCAAGTAGGGGTAAGTAATTTGCCTGGGATCACACAGCGAGTAAGTGTCTGAGGCCAGATTTGAACACAGGAAGATAAATCTTCTTGACTTCAGACCCATCACTCTATCCACTTCAACACCTAGCTGCCCCAAAATCACCGCCTATTAATTTGGCATTCTATACCAATTGCATGAAAACCAATATAGAGCAATTATACTTAATAAAAATAATAATAGTTAGCATTTAAATAGTGTTTACTTATGTGCCAGGCATTGTGCCAAACACTTCACAAATTATCTCATTTGATCTGCACAACCACCTTGGGAGATAGCCACTGTCATTATCCCAGTTTACAGATGAGGAAACAGAAGCAAACAGTGAAGTGACTGGATCACACAGCTAATAAATTTCTGAGACCAGATTTGAACTCAGGTTTTCCTGATCCATGCAGTTTCCAAGCATATTGCCTTAATGCCAAATAAAAAATGTATTTTGCATTGTTATGATTTACCACAATTATCATAATAGGAGGACACATCTCACTTTAAATGAGACCAAATTACAATTTAGTTTCAGGACAAATTTTAACCAAATCAAATCTGGATTTACAATCACAAATTGTAGTGTTCAAAACCTCAGTTTTCCAAGGGCCATTAGCTGCTAGCACCACAAATTATAGAGCCTACTGCTTCTATTTAGCTCACTTTCAAAGATTCATGGTGGCTGCCTCATCTTCCCATTCCCCTCTTTTTGGAGCACATAAAGCCCTAAGGATTGGGACATGCCCTTCTTTGGTCCTTCAAGGACAGAATTTTAGTGCATAATACCAATTAATTGCCATATTTTTACTTCTTTACTTAGGTGACTTAGCTACTAGTTTACCTAAACAGTTACATGCTATTGAGTCGTTTCAAACTAGCTTCAGGTGAAAGTGAAATCACCTTCTACCAGAACAAAATGCATTTATCACCCTCCAGGAAGGGGATGAGAGCAATAGAGGCATGTGACATTTGTTTGTAATCTTCTTTCTAGCAGCAAACCTCCAAAAATTCACCAAAATATTTTAGCAGTTAAAAAACCTTTAAGTCATAATTTGGAAATTTACAGTAAAGATCCTACATTTCAGTTACAGTTTTTAGCCTCTAATTAGTTACAATGCCATACATTTCTACAAACCAGGGAAAAGATTTCCTTCCTTTTCTTCTCTGTCTTTATCTCTGTAATCTCCAACCTGGCCAAGGTTGTAAAGGCACAGAGAAAGAAAAGAATCTCAGTTTTCCTCCCACTGAAAATCTAAATAAAAAGTCAGTGTAAGTCCCTGATAACTACTGTTCCAGAGAGCTGTTTTAGGTATAAAACTTCATTAGTCTTCTCCACTCTTCTAAGCTCCCTTTCTGTGTTATATTAAAGGAGCCTTTATGGGTGAAGAGGTATTTCCCTTCAAAGTTCTCCAAGGTAAATAAGACCTTGTATGCACTAGAGAACTTAAGAAGTTGGAAGCCCTAATTAAAGTCCTCCTCATTGCTTGCCAAATACAAGTTTCCCTTTGCTATCCTGGGGTCATCCTAAGTGAATGACTGTAAAACAAATGCCCATGTTCAGCAGTATATCTGGGCAGTGACCAGGCAGTCACAGGTCAGGTATCTAGGGAGAGATGAGGAGAAAGACAGGAAGAGAAAGAAAAAAAGAAAGAAAAAAGGAAAAAGCTCTGCTAAAGGACCACTTGTCTAATTTTAACAAATTTTTTAATTTTTGCAGCTCCTTAAGAGGCCCTTGAATGATCAAGGGGATTACTTGCTGCTATATTAGGGTGGCCTGGGCAGATTCTAACCCACCCAAATCTTTCCCTGGGCAAAGACCAAGAGCAGCCCCTTAATTTAATGGACACCTAGAGTCAGTGCTTAGACTATGTCCAACCTGAACCCAAGGGGACTCACCAGGTTCTAGCTTTGTTCACTGTGATCCTCTTTTGGTCAGTCCCACTCATTCTCAATCCTAGAATTGTAGAGACTTGCTCAGTTTCCATGGTCTTGGAGAGCCTTCAGGTTTATTTGGGTGATTATGAGGGAAGCCCACTTCTGACACCATATTCTTGTTCAGGAGAACACCCCCAGAATCTGAAATAATTTTAGAAAGAAATTTATTAGATCATTTGATAGAGGAGAGAGCTGAAAAGAAGGGATGGCTCCCCTCCCCAGGTTCTGGAATATTATATAGGATTTTGACCAAGGTTTCCTCATGGGAGTCACACATGAATAATCTGACAAAGGTATTGCATAGGAGTCAAATGAAGGGAACCCAATACACAAGCTTGGGTGGACCAAAAACAAGTCCTGAGTGTAGAGACCCAAAATAAGGATGCTTTGGGTTGATCCAGACCCCGAGGGAACCTCAAATTTTTGTAGCCACCTCCAGCATTCCTAGAGAGTTGCTAAGGTCAGGTGACATTTTGGTGCAAGAAACCTCTAATCACATAAAGTTGGATTTAAACAGTATAATAATATTTATGAACACTAATAAGCATCCTTTTAACACAATGAAGAGGGAAGAGAGAGAGGAGATGAACAGGGTAGGCTGGTAAATAGAAGCCAGTAAAGGAGGGGGATATGTTAGGGGAAGGGCCAATGGTGGGGCAGTGCAGGGCAGTGAAGTAGTCAGGTAAGAAAGGGGGTCAATGAATGGGATATAATCAATGAAAGAGTACTTGGAGTGTGTGTGTGTGTATGTGTGTAACAATGAGGAAGGGATGGGAGGTGAACTGAAAACTATGAGGGAGAGGAGCCAGTGGAGGAGCCATTTGGGGTACAACGAGCACCCTAAATGAGGAGGATCAGTGTAGGTGAGGCCAGTGTTGTCAGGGGCAGGGGAAAATGGCGAATAGGGAACCTGTAAAGGAAAGACTAGTGGGGGACAGTGAAGGAGGAAACAGTGGAGGATAATAAAGAAGTGAGCTAATGAATAAAGCTAGTGAAGGGATGGGACTAATGAATGAAGCCATCAAGGGGTAGAAGGGAACCAGTGAAAGGGGAGCTGGGGGTTGGGGGCAATGAAGGAAGACAGTAAAGGGAAAAGCCAGGTATCACTGAAAAGACAAAGAAAGGTTGCAACAGGGAAAAAACACTAGAGAAGGTGGGTCTTGTGGTGGATGCAGGGTTCTGATGGGGAGAATATGAATGTGAGGATGAGGTGTTTGAACCACTTGACTGGAGATGAAATAATATTTGACTAGACCCCAAATAGTATGTCTGAGTCCCCTTCTATGTGAGGTTTACTGTGGCTGATGATCGATGGGGAGAGGGAAAATAGGGAGGTGGGCAGGACATAAGGTGAGGTCACTGGGTAGTGTGGGGAGAGTATGAGCAAAAGTATCTTTTGAAAACTTCAGGGTCTACCTGTGCATTGAGTTGAATTATTCTAATTCTTCTGGAGTGTTGGGATATGTGATCATTCTATCTCCTTCCTCACTTTGGAAGGAGAGGGATTTAGTATTAAATTTACTAGATCAACCAGAAGGGCTGACACTCAAAGGCTATGAACAGGCAGTTTTCAGATGCAGAAATTAAAGCTATCTATAGTCACATGAAAAAATTATCTAAATCACTGTTGATTAGAGAAGTGCAAATTAAAACAACGTATGTATCAAATTGGCTAACATGACAAAACAGGAAAATGGCACATGTTGGAAAAGATGTGAGAAAATTGGAACACTAATGCGTTGTTGGTGGAGTTGTGAATTGATCTAACCATTCTGGAGAACAATTTGGAACTATGCCCAAAGGGCTATAAAATTGAGCATACCCTTTGATCTAGTAATACCTCTACTAGGTTTGTATCCCAAAGAGATCATAAAAAAGGGAAAAGGACCCACATGTAAAAAAAATATTTATAGTATCTCTTTTTGTGGTGGCCAAGAATTGGAAATTGAAGGAATGTCCATCAAGTGGGGAATGGCTGAACAAGTTGTGGTATATGAATGTAATGGAATACTATTGTTCCATAAGAAATGGTGAGCAGGCCAACTTCAGAAAAACTTGCATGAACTGATGCTGAACGAAGTAAGAAGAACCAGTAGAACACTGTACACAGTAAAAGCAACATTGTGTGATGACCCGCTTTGTTAGACTTAGATCTTCTGAGCAATGCAATGATCTAAGACAGTTCCAGAAGACTTATGATGGAAAATGCCATTCACATGCAGAGAAAGAACTATGGAATCTGAATGCAGATCAAAGTATACTATTTTCTTTTGTTTTTTTTTTCTTTTTTTTTTTATTATTGGTGAGGCAGATGGGGTTAAGTGACTTGCCCAGAGTCACACAGCTAGTGAGTATTATATGTCTGAGGCCAATTTGAGCTTGGGTCCTCCTGACTCCAGGACCAGTGCTCCATCCACTGTGCCACCTAGCTGTCCCTTTTTGTTTTTTCTTTCTCATGGTTTTTCCCTTTTGTTCTGATTCTTTTTTCACAACATGACCAATGTGGAAACATGTTTAATAGGATCATACATGTATAGCCTATATCACATTGTATGCCATCTTGGGGAGGGGGGAATGGAGGGAGAGGGAGAAATTTAGAACTTGAAATCTTATAAAAGTGAATGTTGAAAACTAAAAATAAATTAATTAAAAGAAGGGCTGATATTTATATAGCACTTTTAAATTTGCAAGACATTTTGTATACATTATCTTGTATGCCACTAAACAACCCCTGGGAGGTAGGCACTGGACATATTAAAATTCCCATTTTACAGATGAGGAAACTGAGGCTCAGAGAAGCAAAGTGACTTGCTCATAGTCATGTAGCTAGTAACTGTCATAGACAGGATTTGAACTCAGGGCTCTCTTGACTCTAAACACTAGAGATTATCTACTAGAGCAGAGTACACACAAACCATCCATATAAATCTACCTGCAAAATGTGGGGAATGATCTCTGTAGTCTCTCCCAGCTCTAAATTGCATGATTTAATGAGTCTGTGATCCACCAAAAAACAGCCATTCTCTTACAAAGAGCTATATAATTCCTGGGGTTTTCTGGTGTTGGGACGAGAGCTAAGCATGTAGGGGAGGTGAGAGGGGAAGTGAAGCCAGCTACTTAGGAGATGGAATTTGGTCCCCATTCCCAGTGACTTACCATCCCTCCATCACCACCACCACTACCACCACTGAATCTGGAAGTCTCTTCTTCAGCATTGGTGAATCTGTTTGGCTGCTGTGGGCTCTAGTCTTCAACAGCTGGGTGCCTACCGAGAACCCTTCAGGGTACCACTAGCAAAATTATGGTACTTACCTGGGACTCCTTTTCTGTCATCTTCCTTGCCAACTGCGCAACCATGCCAGTCACTTTCATGATTCAGGAGCAGTACATTGACACTATTTGTGGTCTCAGTGACAAGAAGATGAAAGACGATCCAAGGCAGAGGGGAAGCTGAACAAAAGGTGTGGGTAGAAATGGGGGGAAAGGTGGGAAGAGAATGAAGGTGAATTAGGGTAGGAGACAAAGAAGGATAGGTTTGGAACAGGAGTTTGGGAATTAGATGAAGAAAGGGCTGGGCTATGGCTCAGATGCAAACCCAGGTCAGAAATGTACTGAGCTCCAATGAGGGGAACTTTGGCCTGGATCAGACCACTTTGCTAGAACTGAAAGCTTGCAGGTCCTCAGCCTGAGTTATCCCTGAGATCCTAGAATGACACAACTTCAGTATCCTGAAGAAAGCAGCAGGACAAGCCTAGACATTCCTTCCAGAAATGCAGAATCTGTCCCCAACACAACGTCTGAAGTCAGGAAATAGGCTGGAAGAATTAGTCAACAACAAAAGAATCCCACCCAAAAGAGCTATTGTGGTGACAGGGACTCTCAAGACAAATTCAGAAGAAGGGAATGACTTCAAAATATCTACAAGCAAAATTTCTTTTCTTTTTTTTGGTGAGACAATCAGGGTTAAGTGACTTGCCCAGGGTCACATAGCTAGTATGTGTCATGTGTCTGAGGCTGGATTTGAACTAGGATCCTCCTGACTCCAGGGCTAGTGCTCTATCCACTGCACCACCTAGCTGCCCCCCAAAATTTCTTTTAAAAATTTTTAAAAAAATTTTATTTTTCTAAAACTTAAATACACAATAAAAAAGAAAAACATATCATAAACTTAAATACAAAATAAGAAATAAAAAAATCATGTCCTGTGCACAGCCTTATGTAAGAGAGGATTCAAAATATATAGCAACAAATTTCCATTTCAAGAAAGCCTATGGAAAAAAAAATAGAAAGCCTATGTAATAAATACTCAGCATTGTGTTGAGAGCTATCCATCTTTTCTTTGCTTCCTTGTAAGTTTTCTTTTGTTCTCTACTGTGCACTTTTTACTTTGTTCTTTTTTCCTTCCTTCCTCCCCCCCACCCCCAGAAGGCTACAATTAAATGTGGATACACACACATATACTTTCCCTAACAAATTCTACTCCTGATCTTTGTTTTGTTTGTGCACATCTCTTGTTTCTTATCCCTCTTAACTCCTCTACTTTACTTCTACCCTTTACCTTGTCCTCCTATTACTTAACCTGCACCCCTGCAAGGATCCTTCCCTTATCCTCCTATTCCTATAAATCTAAACACTCTTCTATACCCCCCTTAATCTGTTCCCTTACCCTCCCCTCTAGAGATCTCTCCCTTATCCTCTTTCCCCTCCCTATCCCCTTAACATTTTATTTCTTTCTAAATTTAGAAGACTTTTATACATATACACATATATTTATAGTTCCCTCTTTAACCCATTCCTGATGAAAGTAGGTCTCCAGAACTAATAGCCCTTCTCCCCCATCTAATTTCTTTGTGTTGATTCTTCCTCTAGAACCTCATTTGTATAATTACTTGATTTACCTGGTCCCAAATGGTTTTACTTTTTAAAGTTATATCATACTCAAGTCTTACCCAATCTTTCTTATGAACTACCAATTACTAATAACAATCTTAGGCATAGATTTCACACTTTGCATACTTAAAAGGTAAACAGTCTGTCCTTATTGAGTCCCTTGTAATAGTCTTTGGTATGTACCTTATATTTCTTTTAGCTCTTGTGTGTCAAATCTTCTATTAAGTTCAGGTTTGTTTGGTTTTTTTTAACAAAGTCCTGAAAACCTGACAATTCATTAAATGTCCATTTTTTTTTCATTCAGAATTATGTTTAGCTTTTCTGGGTATGATATTTTCATCTGGAACCCCAGTTCTTTTGCTCTTCCATATATAGTGTTCCAAGATCTGTGGTCTTTTAGTGTCACTGCTGCTAGGTCTTGTGTGATTCTAATAGTGTCATCACCATATTTAAATTTTTTTTTTTCTTGTTGCTCATAATATTTTATCTTTGAGCTGGGGGTTTCAGAGTTTTATCATAATATTCCTCTGCTTTTTCCTTGTAGAATCTCTTTCAGGTGGCAATCAGTGGGTTTTTTCTATTTCTACTTTCCACTCTTGTTCTAATGCTTCAGGACAATTTTCTTTAGTAATTTCTTGTATTATTGTATCAAGATTCTTTTTTTTATAATAGCTTTCAGGTAATCTGATTATTCTCCTGTTTTCTCGTCTTAATCTGTTTTCCAGATCAGTTTTTTTTAAGGCAATCAGGGTTAAGTGACTTGCCCAGGGTCACACAGCTAGTAAGTGTCAAGTGTCTGGTCTGAGACTGGATTTGAACTCAGGTCCTCCTGACTCCAAGGCCGGAGCTCTATCCACTGTGCTACCTAGCTGCCCCTAATTGTTTTTTCTTATTAGGTGTTTTACATTCTTTTCTATTTTTTCATTCTTCATGTTTTGTTTTATTATTTCTTGATCTCTTATAACTTCGCTGGTATCCCCTTGCCCAATTCTGATTTTCAAGGAGTCATTTTCTTCCTTAAGATTCTGGATCTCCTTTTCTAATTTCTTCTCACACTTTTCTTGTTTTTTCTTGGATTGTTCTTTTTTTTTATTTTTAATGTCTTTTTAAAGTTCTTCTATGAATTCTTTTGGGGCAGGTGACCATTTGACATTGTCCTTTGGGGTAGAAGAGGATTTCTTTGCTTCAGGATCCTCCTCTGAAAATGAACCTCAGTCTTCTCTATTCTTATAGTAACTCTCTATAGTTGAATTCATTCTCCTGCGCCTGTGCATTAAAAAAAAAAATTGTAGTAGCTTAGTTTTTGTAATCAACTCTAGTCCTGAGGTATGGGGGATGGTGCCTCTGGCTTCAGCTCTTCAGTTCTCCCCTCTGGCCTGGAACTGAAACCAAAACCTTCAGCCTCCTATAAGTGCCCATAGCCAATAGAGTCTCTGCCCCTCTGCTTCTGCACTCACTGGTCATATGCTGGTTTCTTCTTGCTCCTGCAATGTCTCCATATTACAGCTGGATCTGGTGTTCCTTGTTAGCAGAGCTTCCCTCAATCTTCCCGGGCTCAGATACTCAACTCCCTGCACTTTGGGCTAGGGGGGTGGGGAGGAGGGAGAGGCTGAGGCAGCCTTCCAACATAGCTAACCCCAGGGCTAGCTGCTTGTTGTTTAAGTGGTCCCTAGCCTGGAGGTGTTTACTTGTCACTTGGACCAAACATCCTGGGATTTTACTTCAGATCTTCTCCAATTGTCCCAGAAGGACCACTATTCTGCCCCTACTCTTATTTATTTTTATTGCTCTATGTCTGTCCTGAGATGCTATTTTATCTCTTTCGTGGGGGGAAATCTTGAGGGCTTGGAATTTTCTCACCTACTTGGCTATCTTTCCAGAATCTTCCCTTCAAGTAAAATTCAAAGAAAAACATAGCTTGGGTACAAATTCAACTAGAATTCCTGGAAGAGATGAAAAAAAGAGTTTTTAAAAGTGTTTTTAAAGCTTTTATGAATGAAAAATTTATGGGGAAAAATTGAAAAAGAATTGAGAGCTATGGAAGAAAGAATTAGAAAGGCAATAACTTGGCACAAAGGTTAAAAATATTGGCTATGCAATAAACTCCCTGAAAATTAGTCTGGGCCAAATAGAAGCTAATGAATCTATGAGACAATCAAAAATATTAAACCAAATTCAAAAAACTGAAGAAAAAAAAAGTAAGGTATTTCATAGCAAAAACAGACCAGGAAAAATAGATAATTTAAAAATCATTAGATTGCCTGAAAACTATAACAACAACAAAAAAAAGAGTCTAGACATCATATTTCAAGAAATCATGAAAGAAAACTGCCTGGATCTCTTAGAACCATAGGGCAAAGTGAAAGTAGAAAGAATTCCCTGGTCATCTCCTAAAGAAAATACCATAATGAAAACTGCCAGGTTCATTATAGTTAAAATCCAGAGCTTTCAGGTCAAAGGAAAATTACTATAATCAATGAGAAAGAAAGAATTCAAGTACCAAAAAGACACATTCAGGATCACACATAAGATAATAGCTATCCCTATAAAGGAGTAGACAGCTTGGAATATGGTATTACAGAATGCAAAGAATATAGGATTACAGTCAGGATAACTTACCCATCAAAACTGAGTATAATGCCATGGGGTGGGGGTCGGGGAGAGACATTAACCTTTAACGAAATAGAGAACTGCTAAGTATTTGTGAGGGGTGGCTCACAGTGAAGTTTCCCATTAGTATCTTCCTGCTACATTCTTACCTCCCTGCTACACTCCTATCTCTCTCCTGCACTCTGTCTGAGTGTGAGAGATGGCCTGCAGTGCAGTTCCCACAGGCCTCAGTTTCATTCCTCCAGAAAGCCTTGAGTTAAGTTTCCATTTTCCCCGATAAACTTCTTTTTCTCCAGCACCACGTGAGCATGGGTGGGGGAGCTCAGTGCCTGGTCGCTCCTACTTCCTAGTACACATATGCATCTAGTCCAAAGATGGGCATGTTTACTTCTATTGGGTATTAGCTGCTGTGTTTAGAATGCACACCCTGAGTACCCAGTCAAAGGAGAAAGGGGTAAGAGAGTGGGAGGGGGCATCGCATTAGGGGATAAAAAGCCAATGGTGGGGCTCCCAACTCGTACTCTCTCCGCCGGCAATGGTGACTAAGGGTGGTACCCTTTCTCATGAGAAAGCAATAAACTCCTTTCTGCTTTCAAGGTATCTAAGTCTTTTTATTTTGAGTGGGTGGTCTCTGCCCTACACAGTTGGGGGATTGTCCAGATTCCCCTTATTTGAGAAAGGGCCTCCCAGCCAGTCCTAGGACAGGCGCCCGTAGGCCACTTGCCAGCAGTCCGAGGAATGGTTTGGGAGTTTCCTTTCACTTTTAAGAAATGACCCGAAGAAAGACAGAAACCTCGGAAAGGGCACAACAACCACCACCCGCTGAAGAATTTGAAGCGGTCACATAAGTTTGTGTGCACAGAGCCAGGTAAGCAAGACCCATGAGTCCTTTGTGCACCTAAGTGGTTTGAGTTCATAAGGTAACCAACTCTAAGGTTCATGGTGGCAAGGTTCCTTTCCAGATGTTCCGGACAATAGCTAATTGGGATTTACCAAAGTATAAAGAGAAAGACACGAGAAAAGAAAAATGATCAAATATCGCTGCTTGGTTTGGGCTGGCGATGCCTACTTTGTGCAGAGGACTTCTAACAATTCTCTCTGAGCTTTTGGATTCTTCCTGTCATTTTCGGTCTGTATCTGTTTCTGTGTTTGTGTCTGTGTGGTGTGAGTGAGTGTCCTGTGTAATTTGATGCCCTTTGTAGCCAGGTAGCAAGAGTAGCATCCCAAGGCTTCAGCTGGACTCTGGAATGCTGCTTTCTTTCTCTCCCCCTCTCCCTCCCTTATTACAGCAGTCTGAGGAGTGGGTGGATGGGAGAGAGAAAGAGAGAATAATACTTTATTATTTAGGTTATATGACTGGTAAAAGGAAGGTTGAAAAGGATCCTCAAAGTGTCAGGTCAGAATTAGAAAGAAATAAGATATGTGCAGTTTTAAAGGGACTTTAATCAAAGTCCCTCAGAGGGATAAGTAGGTAGAAGGAAAGGCAAGAAAGTTTAAGCATGTAGGAGAGAGGAGTATTTGTAGAAAGTTTAAGGAAGGTATAATTTATTTGCACAGTGTGAATAGAGGTTTTGAAAGTAAAAAGGTTAGGAAACCCTTGAAGAGTTGTTGGAAAATATTCTCTTCCTCTCTCCTGTATTCCCACTTTGGCCAAGTTGTTGAATGTAGAAGAGAGAAAGATAAGAAGGAAAGGAGGGTGAATCTTTCCCCCTCAGATCAAAGGGAGGCAGGCTAAATAAGCCTTTAACCATTCCCTGCCTTACCTAAAAGAGAAAAGTTTTTGTGTAATAGGACCCAACCAAAAAGAAATCGAATTCATTCTGGTCGTATTTTAAAAAAAATATGAAAAATGTAATGTGTCACTCCTAATTTAATGCTTAAGATAGGTTAGAATTTATTTTGCTATTTGGCACTAAAGTAAGATTAATAAACAAAATATCTTAAAAAGGCAGCTTAGATTGAAAGGCTGATAACCTAATTTAAAAACCAATAGATAAAGTTATGGAGAGATGGAAGGAATTATGTCCACCCACCTTTCGGGCTAGATCTGTGGGTGGGTTCTACTAAATCTAATATGGATACTGGCTATGGTAAAGATATTGGTTATTGTGAGTTATGATTATTACTGTAATTATCAAGCTCCAGAGGTGTCTACCTGGAGGGAAAGCTGATCATACTTTGTCAGCATTGATTCAAATTCCTTAGGCTTGCTTTTTTTTCCTGGGCCAAAAAGTAGTAGTTAGAATACTGGCCCAGCAGCACATTTTAAACTGACCTGATTACAATAGGTGATTCCAAACTGTTTGTAAAACTTTCGCAAGAAAATGTGGACATGAATGGGGAACTGAAATATTGAAGAAATATATGAATTTGTGGATAATATTCCTTTATAAAGGGCCAAGGGTATTGAACTTAGAAATGCATATTTGTATAATTTTAAAAGTACATATTGTTATTTGGCATTAAGAAATTTATTAGCTATATGGCCCCAAGAAAGTTCTATTTACTTTAGTTTATCGTTCAGTAAGGGGATGGTGGTGGAATTCCCAGGATATTATGAAGATCACATGATTGTAAAGGTGCTTGGCACAATGCTTGGCATAAAACAAACAAATCTGAATGTAAACTGTTTTAAGTTAAATATAATTGCTTCATATTCATTAACTTTATGTGGATTTTCTTCGATGTGAAGTTTATGTCAGTGGTGATGAGATGAATGATTCTCTGTGTAAGGCAATTTGGGAACACATCCGATTAGAGTAAAGCCACCAGAGTGGTAATTAATTGGTTTTGGTTTTAAGGTTTAAATAGATGATAGTTGTTTATGGTATTGTTATATTTCTAAAATTTTCCTTTATTGCATAATTTGGTAAACAACTGTATCATCTGTGTTGTCGGAAAAGCAATTTCTCTTATAATATAAATGTTGTTAGGTTAAGAATTATGCTGTAAAAAAAATGATGAATGGGTTAGGAAATTTTTAAGTCATTCTATTTGACTATGTGTTATAATATTTTGAAGTATCGTAATTTAAGAAATCATAAAATTTCCAAATTTTGTCATTATTTAAAGGGAATTTTCAATTACAATTGTTTTCCTATCATTTATGAAATTTGTGAGATTGTTAACTAAGTTATTTGGGGTTACTGTTTTAATGCTAAAACCTAAAAGGGTTAATTAATTACTGTATGTAGAAATAAGGGGATTGTGTAAAGCCTTATCGGGTTGGTTCTGCTCATTCAAGGGCACCAGTATCAGCCCTCTCTGAGGTCCATGTCAATTCTCCTTGTTTTGTAAACTTGCCAAGGTCCCTGGAAACCATCTGTGTGGGCAAGGTCATCTGCCCTGAGAAAAGAACTTGTTAGGATTATGCAGTTCCTAAACAATGAACTTGGCTTGCTGAGAATTTGCAGGTGTATAGAAATGATTTCTAATGATTGGCTTTTATACCAGGACAAGTTTAAATTTGAGAAGGAAAGATGTAAAGTGAAATCTCTTACGTATGAGTCCTGGTAAATCTTTATTGCTTGTTGCAACTACATGAGAGTAAAATTAACTGTTATCTGACTTTAAGCTGTGATTAGTGAAACTTGCTGTTTGAGGTAAAAGGCTCTTGGGACTATAACTAATTTTGTTTTGACTTTGAATTTGGGTGTAGTTGTCTGCATTAAATCAGTATCTGAGAAAAATGCCACTCAAAGGGAATGTGATCCTGTACTGTTAACAAGTGGAGGTCTGTATTTGGGAAAAAAAAGCCGAGGGGACAATCTTAGCCTTATTCTAGGATGGGATCCTCCTGGCTCAGTTTCCCCATTGTGTTCCTTTGGAAAGGAATGTTTCCCACCTGACTATTGCTGAGTCTGGCTATGAGGAGAAACAGATACTGCATGATTGGAGAACTGTGACTCTATCTGAATTTAAACAAAGCTAAAGATGTTTTATCCTGTCATATTTGGTATGTCATATGTCCCCTGCTCTTTTTCCTTCTATAGTGAGTTTCTATGATCAAAGCAAGTAGTCAGTATAAGATCTGAGCTCTTTTGTGTTATCTTACTGAGAAATCTAATAATGTTTTTATCTAAAACTAGAACACGTGCACAAATTTATGCAAACTGCTTAAGACTTGCCTTAAGATGTTCCCTTTATTTAAAAGTATTCTAAGAGCACTAGTATTTTTCCTGTAATCAGTCTCTTACTGTTACCAATGTGAGATTCTATTATAACACCTTTTGACTAAGGAACTTTGTGATATTTAGGGATTCTATGATAACTAGGAATTTAGTTTCTTGATAATACTCTGGAATTTGTGTTACTTAAGGACTTTTGCACCAACTTAGTAAGATTTTATGAACAAGGGTGGAAATGCATGCAAGTTATTTAGGGCTCACTTTGGAGATGTTCCTTAGGCAATGTGAGATTATAGTCATATCTTAAACTGATTATTGGAACTTGCTATTCAAAGACTTAATGGGACTAATGACTGACTGTTTCTGAGTCTAATTCCAGGTGTAAATATCAAGGAAGGCTGTCTGAGCCAGTGATCCATGATGCTAGCAGCCCTGTGAGGGGCAAGTATGAACTGCAGATATGATTTCATGGGAAGGTTGAGAGGGCAACTGTTCCACATGGGACTCTCTTGACTTGATTCCTTAACTGAAACCTGGCAGACTTTAAGTCTGGCTCAATGCAGTTTGCAGTTTGACATAACACTCTGCCTGGAGTTGACAGGAAGTTGGGGAAATATTGTTCCCTTACTATAAGTCTCTAATCTCTTAGTGGCAAGTTTCTATAATCAGAAGGTTTTGTAAGTACAGTAACAAATTTACTAAAATAATTGATTATGGAACATCTTAGGTTACTATAGAACTGGGACTAGTATTCCTAGTGTGTTCCTGTATGAGTTAGGGTCCTTTCATTCTTGGTAATGGTATGGAGACAATTAGGTCAGGGGCTTGTAAGAATGTTATTTTGTTATTTGGTTAATATCATACTTGTCTAAAGTTTTGTTACAATTAATAATGTTAAAAGAAGAATGGCTTGTGGTTTATTTTGTAAATGCCATCAAAGAAACATGGCATGACTAAAAGTTTAAGATTTTATATGTACTGTGTTAAAAATGATTATTTAATATATTTATGTATGTACTGGAGCCTGTTATTAATTCCTTAGTGAAATCTCATCCTCCTGGTGAGGAAATTAATAATGGATTAATGTAAAGTATAAGACACTGGGTTCTGATGTGAATTTCTTAAACATGACAATTGGCCATGGTTCCAGTTTTGAGTTTGTAAAAATG